GAGGGAAGACTGGGTAGCTGAGTCTGCAGAGCAGAACAGCTGGGCAGTTAATCTCTCGAGAATGCAGGGGATGGCAGGTCTACTCTCATCTCTAGACACTCTGGGTATGACTTGTAGTCTCTCTGTGAACTTAACATCTGATTCCATGTGGAAGCAGAGGTTGGTAAGGGAAGGACAACGGAACTTTGAGTCTAGCTTGTTAGTGAAAATGGTCGGTTTCTCTTTAAGACAGAGTCCAGCCTTGGAACTGGTAGCAGTTAAGGATCTGAAAACTGGTGAACTGGCTCCTGTCTGGGGTAATGCAAATTACTTGGCTGGCAGGGAGAAGAAGGACTTGCTAATAGGTGTTAGCACAGAGAGCACACCCAACCAGCCAGTGAATTCTGTTAAGTGAGAGAAATCAGGGTTTGATCCTTCAGGAAAAGGAGGAAAAAGAGACCTTAATTTTGCAAAGGAAAGCCACAGGCTGACCCTAAAAGGCCCAAACCTCAATGGTATTAAGCCAAAGGGGTGGCATGAAATGACTGTAAACGGACATTTGCAATGAATTTGTTGTTATTGCTAATGGTAATTTTTGTGAGTAATGTGTTGCTATTACCAAAAACTGTAAAAATGTACAATGTGCCCAATCTTTTGGAAAATTCCTTGAACATGTTAAAAGGATTACATGAGAACTCACTTTGTGTTAAGAGGCCTTGTTATACGGATGTTTCACAGTTAATGCCTGTAAACAGTATTGAAACTTTTCACAGGGGAAAAGACATTCCAAATCTGATGTGCTGTGTGAAAAGGGAAACTGAGGCACACTACCATATTGCTTGCATGGCTAAGGGCCAAGATTCCTATACTATGGACAACATTAACATCTACATTGATGTGATGTTAATTGGGTTCCACACATTGGCCAGAGCTTGTACAGATAAAGTAGCTGTTTTCTTCAGCTCTTGGCAAAATCACAGGACACGTACAGGAACCGTGCTGCAAGAGTAGATCCAATCCACTATTGTTCTAATCAAGTTTTACCTTGTAAAGAGATTCAGTCATGTTATTGAACATGACTTTGGTAAACCATTTCTGTTATACACCAATACTTGCTGTAGTAAGACAGAACCAAGGAGGGAAGCTCTAGGGATGCAGTCAGTGATGTTTGTGTCATCCCTTCCTGCATCAATTTTGCATTGGCGGTGTGATGTTATTGACTTGAACTGGGACCGTAGAGATCATTGTTGCAACCTAAGTCCTATAGTGGCACTAAATCTTGTATAAAGGGGGTCAAATGAGGTGTCTAAGACAAGGTGATGGTTTGCTGGTTAGGATGATGCTGTCTGTTTGCACGTATCTTTTTTGTAGTTGAAGTTATGAATATTGGTTCTATACTGTCTATAGTTCAAACTTGTGCTATGCTTCCGGAGAACACCCCAGACAAGTTGGTGTCAGCTCTGCCCAGCCTGCTGGATGGCCCTGTCAAGGTTCCTCCCCCACTCTGAACTCTAGGGTACAGATGTGGGGACCTGCATGAAAACCTCCTAAGCTTACTTTTACCAGCTTAGGTTAAAACTTCCCCAAGGTACAAATTAATTTTATCCTTTGACCCTGGATTTCCACTGCCACCACCAAACTTTAACTAGGTTTATTGGGAAAAAGTAATTTGGACATGTCTTTCCCCCCAAAATCCTTCCAACCCTTGCACCCCACTTCCTGGGGAAGGTTTGGTAAAAACCCCCCCAAATTTGGAGGGGGCCCAAACACCCAACCCCTTGGATTTTAAAAAAAAAAAAAAACCCTTTTTTTTTTTATAAAAAAATTTTTTATAAAAAAAAAGGGACCCCCCTTTAAAAAAGATGGTTGTTGACTCTTTTAATTAATTTTAAAAAAAAAAAAAAAACACCCCCCCTACCCAAACATTAAATAAAAAACACACACAAAAAAAAGAATTCTTTTTCTACCAGACCTTTTTTTCTCTTTTATAAAAATAAAAAATAACCAAACACACACCTACCTAAATTATAAATAATAAAAAAAGACACCCCCCCCCTTTTTTTGCCTGCCGCCGGTGGTCGGGGGTCCCCCCCCCCCCCCTACTCTTATAAAAACAAAAAAAAAGGAAAAGACGCCCCCCTTCCTTTTTTTTTCTCCCCCCCCTTTTATATTTTTTCTCTCTTTTTTTTGTTTTTTTGTGGTGGGGGCGGGGGGGTTCCTTGTTTCTTCTCTCCTCTTTAGAGGTTTGTGGTTTTCCCTCTGGCCGGGGGGTGTTTTGGGAGTGTCTTTCCTCCCCCTTTTTTATTAATGGGCCAAAGAGGAACAACAAGGAAACAAACGAACGACACAAGGGGGGGGGGGGAGGGCGCGGGGGGGGGGGGGGGGGGGGGGGGGCGGCCCGGGACAGGGACATCGAGGTGTTTCCAGGCCATGGAGTGGGCAGCTTGTCTTTGGGACAAAGAAAGAGAGACCACATGGCAAGAGAATGTAAAAACCTGCCGCAGCTCCTCCATCTTGTCTTCAGTCCTGCTTCTGACCTCTGGAGGGACTTTGCTTCAAACCAAAGCTTTGAACCAAGGACTGAAAGACCCATCCCAGCTGGGGATGTTCTCCAGAGACTTGATTTGAACCTGCCGTTTATTCCATCACTGCTGCAAGCCTGAACCAAGAACTTGGCCATTCCTGTATGTCATTGATTCCATTTCACCCATTCTAGCTCTCATCTCTATCTTTTCCCTTTTATGACTAAATCTTTAGATTTTAGATTCGAAAGGATTGACAACAGCGTGATTTGTGGGTAAGGTCTGATTTGTATATTGACCTGGGTCTGGAGCTTGGTCCTTTGGGATCGAGAAAATCTTTTTCCTTTTACTGGGGTATTGGTTTTCATAACCATCTGTCCCCATAACGAGTGGCCCTGGTGGTGATAGTGGGAAATTGGAGTGTCTAAGGAAGTTGCTTGTGTGACTTGTGGTTAGCCAGTGGGGTAAAACCAAAGTCTTCTCTATTTGGCTGGTTGGGTTTGCCTTGGTGTGCACAGAAACCCCAGCCTTGGGCTGTAACTGCCCTGCTTTAAACAATTTGTCTCAGCTGGGCCCCGCTAGAACCAGCCTCGTTACCGGGTCCCTGCGTCCATAATACGGTGCCCTAGTCTGTGGGTCGGGCCTGCATTGCCTGTTCTGAGGGAATAACTTTTCATGTGACAGTATTAAAACAGGTTTCAGAGTAGCAGCCGTGTTAGTCTGCATCCGCAAAAAGAACAGGAGGACTTGTGGCACCTTAGAGACTAACACATTTATCTGAGCATAAGCTTTCGTGAGCTGCAGCCCACTTCATCAGTGCCACAAGTCCTCCTTTTCTTTTTGTATTAAAACAGTTTGTTTGTGTGGGCCCAGCTCATCAAATGTTCCAGATCAGCCGGTGTGCCTGCCCTGGCCTCCTCAGTGGAACCACTTTGGGTTGTCTGCAAAGTTTTTCTGCAGCGATTTTCTATTTCCTTCCAGATCAGTGATGAAAATATTCAATAGCATCGGGCTTAGAACCCTGCTAAAAACACCCCCGTTCACCCCAAGGACAAGGCCAGTTTTTAATCCACTTTACAGGTTCTCTACTGACATTGCAGACTTTCATTTTTCAGATGAGTGTTTTCCACGCTGAATCCAATGTCTCAGAGAAATTGAAGTTAATTGCATCTATGCAGTTCCCTTGATCAGCCAAACCTGCACTCTCCTTGAAGGATGAAATCGGTTTTATTTGACAAGACCTGACTTCCATAAACCATGCTGGTGACGAGCATTAATTATATTCCTCGACTTTTTTTGAACTAATCCCAGACCAGCTTTCCAGTGTTTCCTGACCTTGTCAAATTTTTTTTTACCCCCCCCCCCCTTTTTAATACTTTTCATTTAACACAGAACTGTCCTGTATGTGCCCTTTTGTTTTGGCTCTGCTGCTGACAGATCGTGTACTTCTACTCCCGAATGAGGTGTGTGGGCGATCGGTCAGTTTGTAACTCTGGTGTTCGTAACTCTACGGTTCTACTGTGGAGGCTGTTAAACATCCTCCTTGGCTGCTAATGGGCTGGAGACTATTCCATCACCTCATGTGATAGGAGTGCCTCCTACTGCCTCTTTCCCAGTGCAGAACAAACCTATTTCTTCAACACATCTATGTTTTCTGCAACATTAAGAAGTTTCCTTTCTCCCTCTAGGAATTGGCTTAAACCTTTCCTAGGATTTCTTTTGTTCTTAATATACTTAATAACCCCCTTTTTGTTATCCTTAGTCCTGCCAAGCATGGAGTTTCCCCTGATGTCTTTATCGTTCCTTATCAGTTTTCATAACTTCCCATTTGTGTTGCCTGCTTCCTATTTTCCCTTTTTACCCATTTGTATCTGTTGCTTTTCCCCACATAACTGCTGCCTTCACTTTGCCACTGAACTCGGTTTTGAGCCAAAGTTCTCCACTTCCTAATTCTCCATCCCATTTCTTAGGCATCCAAACATTGTCTTTGATTTGGCCACTACTGCGAACAAGCAGGTGTTTTGTTGACCTGCTTTCATTGATGCCCAGGTCTTTTCCCTGAGGTGTGTCCTAGTTGGGATGTTTCTCCCTGGCACATGTCTTGGCAAAGGTTTGGGGTTTTTTTACGTGCTCAGATTTTGAGTAATCGGTTGAATGGGGACTCCCTACAGCATGGACTCTCTAGCCTGGCTTTCATTGCATTAAGGAACAATGATGGATAACCAGTATCCACTCTCGTGTTTCCTGCTGGTGCCTATTAAGGGTCCCCACAACAGGGCATGTAGAATTATTGACTCATGGAGCACCATCAACCATGGAATTGGCATTAGTAGGGCCAGTTGTTCATAATTCATTTATCTGACTAATGAAAATGTCGTTTTTCAGTGTGTCAAGAGCGACCAATCTGCTTCCCCATGAGAACAGCCCCCAGTAGTGCATGTAGTGTCTCAAACTAACATTGTCTCTCCACCCAGGCATTTGAACTGCGAGCATCACCCAAGAGCCTGGGCACACACAGGAAGTTGGGGGAACGTACGGTACATGAAGGAGACACCGTTCTGCCTCAGAGTTGGATACCTTTTCCCATACTCCATGTCTGATTCCAACACAACCGACTTCACCAACCCCTCCACCTTCATCCTGCTGGGCATTCCTGGCCTGGAGATGGACCACGTCTGGATCTCCATCCCCTTCTTCACCATGTACGCCATAGCCATGTTGGGGAACTTCACCATCCTGGTCATTGTGAAGATGGAGCAGAGCCTCCATGGGCCCATGTACTATTTCCTCTGCATGCTGGCTGTCAGTGACCTGGTCCTGTCTACATCCACCCTGCCCAAAATGCTGAGCATCTTCTGGTTTAATTCCAAAGAGATCAATTTCAGTGCCTGCCTCACCCAGATGTACTTCATTCACTGCTTCTTAGTGATGGACTCTGGGATCCTCATGGCCATGGCTTTGGACCGCTATGTGGCCATCTGCCATCCCCTGAGACATTCCACCATCCTGACAAACTTTGTGGTGGGCAAGATTGGCCTGGCCGTGGTGCTGCGTGGTGGCATGCTCATACTGCCCTATCCCTTTCTGACAAGTCAGTGGCCATATTGCAGAACCACCATCATCCCCAACATGTACTGTGAGCACATGGCTGTGGTGAAGCTGGCCTGTGCCGACACCCACATCAGTAATTACTACAGCCTCTCTGTGGCATTCTTGGTGACGGGTCTGGATGTGTTTTTTATTGCTGTGTCGTATATCCAGATTCTCAGGGCCATCTTCAGTCTCCCCACAAAGGACGCCCGGCTCAAGACTTTTGGGACCTGCGGCTCCCACCTATTTGTCATTTTAACCTCTTACATCCCAGCTCTCTTCTCCTCCCTCATGCACCGGTTTGGTAACAATGTGGCGGTACATTTCCATGTTCTCATGGCCAATGCGTACCTTCTAATGCCCCCCATGCTGCACCCCATCATCTACGGGGTGAGGACCAAACAGATCCGGGACAGGTTGCTCCGGCTACTTACTCCTAAAGGAACCTAAAGTTTTCTCCTGGTGCTCTGGCTCTCAGACCCAGCTTCCTGCAGAGATGGCAGGTGACATGGTGCTGGGCCCTCTTCCCTGAATCACTTGCCGGACAGTCAAAAAGGCAGTAAATGCTTTCCTGACCTTACTGTGCTGTGTCAGTGTGACAAACTGGGGAATAGGTCTATGTATCCACCCCTTGCCCCACCTCTTCTGCCAAGGCCCGATCCTGCTTTGCCTCTTTCCCCCAAGGCCCTGCCTCTGTCGCTTGCTCCTCTATTCCCCTCCCCCTGTCACTTGATGGATCATATCCACCTCCCTCCCCTCACCACAGCTACAAGGGAGCATTTTCAGATTTTGTTGTGGGTGGCAACTTTAACCATGATTCCAAGGGGAACTTAAGGTCTTGAAAACTCTAGTTTGTTGTCAGATAACTTAGCAATTAGCTGACGGGAGCACTGTGTCTAATTCTGATGTAAAAGAAAGAAACTTAAATAAATATTAGACCCTCTCAGGTCTGATACTAACATGTTCAGACATCTTGTGCCAAGTCACTTAATGGACACTGGTTAGGTTTAAAATATTCATGTATATTCTTACTTTGTTACTACTCTGCAGAGAGAGAGACCTCATCAGGACTCCTGGGTTCTATCTCAGCTCTGGGAGGGGAGTGGGGTCTAGTGCGTTACAGCGGGAGTTGGGGGGGCAGATACATCTGGGGTATCTATGAGAACATCAGAACGGCCCTACTGGGTCAGACCAATGGTCCATCTAACCCAGTGTCCTGTCTCCCGACAGTGGCCAATGCCAGGTACCCCAGAGGGAATGAACAGAACAGGGAATTACCAAGTGATCCATCCCCTGTCACCCACTCCCAGCTTCTGGCAAACAGAGGCTAGGGACACTGTCCCTGCCAATCCTGGATAATAGCTATTGATTGACCTATCCCCCATGAAGTTATCTAGTTCTTATTGGATCCATGTTATAGTTTTGGCCTTCACAACATCCTGTGGCAAAGAGTTCCACAGATTGACTGTGAGGAAATACTTCCTTTTGTTTGTTTTAAATCTGCTTCTGACTAATTCTATTGGGTGACCCCTAGTTCGTATGTTCTAAGAAGGCGTAAATAACATTTCCTTGTTTACTTTCTCCATACCTCTCAGGATTTGAGAGACCTCTGTCATATCCCCCCTTAGTTGTCTCTTTTCCAAGCTGAAAAGTCCCAGTCTTATTAATCTCTCCTCATATGAAGCTGTCCCATACCCCTAATCATTTCCGTTGCCCTTCTCCGTTCCTTTCTGCACACAGCATTCAAGGTGTGGGGATTAATATAGAGGCAACATGATATTTTCTGTCTTATAATCTCTCCCTTTCTTTATGATTCCCAACATGCTGTTTGTTTGCTTGATTGCCACTGCACTTTGAGGAGATGTTTTAACCCTATTCACTCCCCTTAGATTGTATGAACTCTCTGTAGCCTGATATCTCTGGGCTTTTCCTGAACTCTTCGCTCATGCTCCTTGTACCGAGGGGCAGTGCAGTGGTATTTTATATAATGTAATATAAAAAATAAAGACTAATAAAGTGGCATGTATTAAACATGTATTGGGGTATGATTCCACGTATGAGGTCGTGTTTCACATCGGCATTCCAATTCCACGGGCGGTTGTCAGGGCGCTTGTGGGAACAGAGCTATGTTCGGGGCATGCTGCAGTGCAGAGCAAAGGTGAAGGAGGCAAGCGCCCCACAACTGCCGTTTTTACGGGCTGTGCAGAGCGGAAAGGACCCCAGACCTATTCTCTGACCCATCACGCCCACGTTGCATTGGGTCTGTCGAGCAGGTGAGCTCCCCAGCAGGAGATGGTACCTGTGAATCCTGAGAGGGAAGTGTCTTCCCTGGGAATCCCCCTCCGGTAGCCGTGCCCCACACCGCTCTCACCCCAGCATCTGCAGCAGCGTCCCACGCCGAGGGCCGACACAGGGGTGCGCACCGTTTATAACACAGCTCTGTGCAACCCCGGGGGGTTCGCTCAGCTTCTGGCGGAGACGTGGCATCTGAGTGTAAACAGGCCGGTGACTTGAGACACACTAGCCAATGTCTCTCTTCCCCGGCTGCGCTTCTGCGCTATTTATCCAGCTTTATGAGAAAACAAGAATTAAGGGACCTTCCCAAAGGGAAGTGAGAACTCTGGGGCTCTGTGCTGAGTCACAGAGGAATTGGCTGCTCTGTGCATTTGTGTATATTTAAAAATTATGCTTGATTAGGAAGAAAACTGGGGATAAGACCTGTGTCTCCATGGGGTCTGATACCCTGTAAATGCCCAGGGTGGAGGGGTAGAGAGTAGACAGACAGATCTGGAGACAGATGGCTGAGGGGAGACACAAGCACTCTCTGCAGACACACGGGGCTGTCGCTAAGGGACCAGAGATCAGTCATTCTCATCAGTAACGATCATCAGACTGTGCAGCACCTTTCACTGAAGGATCTTGAAAGCGCCTAGCAAAGGAAAGTCCTGTGAACGTATCCTCAGTGTACAGATAGGTAAACTGAGGCATGGGGAGAGGTGACTTAGCCAAGGTCTCACAGAGATTGAGTGGTGGGATGACAGACAGAACCCAGGAGTCCTGACTTCTTTACTGCAACCACGGTCTCTCTGGCATGCCAAGAGGGAGATGGACTCCCACTCTGGCCGGGGCTGTTCGTTGGGTGGGATGCAGAGGAATGGCTGGAAGAAGGAGCCTGATTGCAATAGCTGAACTCTCTGCCTGCTCACCTGGCTCACTGGGGGTATTTGTCTGGTGCAGAGCACCTGGGTTTTTAAGCAGTGGAATGAGACTGAACAAATTCTCCTGTCCGAGCCCAACAGGGCGCCGTGTTCACCTTTCAATGTGGCTGCAGACAAAGGCCGTAGGCTTTTAGGCCTCACAACATAGCTAGAGGCCGTATCCTATGGCTACAGGAAAAGGGTCTGATCCTTTCAGTACGTCCAGGCCCCGGAGATCCCCATGACTGACCCCGTCGTACCCCAGGTATGGCCTGGTCCCAGGGGGTCCCCAGGAGCTTCCCCAGGTACGACTGGCCCCCAGGGGTCCCCGGGAGCTGCCCCGTTCTGCCTTCGGTCCGTCTAGGATCATCAGACACTGGAACATTCCCACTGGCGACAAGGGCCAGAGCTGCTGGATGACGTCTGTCCCAGGGCCCCTCCCTGGCACGGTCTCTCTGCTCTGCATGCAGGAAAAGGGCCTGATCCTTCCACCTCGCTGGAGAATCCCACCAGAATGGAGGCCTGAGCGAAGACTCCCCGCAGCTCGTTAGCTGTGACATTAGAGCTGAGTTCCTCTATCCGGGGAGTGCTCAACCCCACTCCACCCCAGCCCCCACCTGCACTCCATCACTCCCCCATGCCCCAGCCCCGTCCTGTCTCTTTCCTGCATCTTTCTGCCCCTTCCCTCAAGTGCACCCCATCCCCACTCCTCCCCCTCCCTCCCAGCACTTCCTGGGGTGGGTGGGAGGCACGGGGAGGATTTGCTTGGCAGGGCTGCCGGTGAGTGAGAAGCGCCGGGGGAAGTGAGGGGAACAGGGCTGCCCAGAGGTGCTAAGCAGCCGGTATTTTTCCCATGAGCGTGCCAGCCCTGGAGCCCCCGGAGACTCGGTGCCGGCGAGCGGAGGAGAGGTAGCCTCGATGGAGCCGCTGGCGAAACCGGAGGCTCCTGGAGGGTCCGGCAGCAGATGAGCCGGGTTTGAGGAAGGCAGCGGCGCCGAATTGCGTTTGTGGATCTAGCCCTGGCCGCCTTTCTGGACGATGCTTTAGTCAAGCACAAGTTACGGTTGGTCAAAGCCAGGGGGGCTGGCTGGCGACGCTTGGAGGAAAAAGCCAAGTTCCTGGATACTCACCTCTCACTTTCAAAAACTTTCCCCTCTTCTCTTTGTACAAGGAGCAGGCTCCCCTGGGCAAAACAGGTTTTTATCTGCTCTCTACCCGTCCTCCAGTGGCTCCAGTGTCCCAGCTGCTTGCCCTGCTCGAAGCCGGGCAACGCCCCTTCCTTCGGAGGCGAGAAGCTGTAGCAGCGTCCTGGGAGGCGACCCTGGTGTGGTGCTGTAGGACTGAATACGGCCATTTTTGCCAAGTATGATTATCCTGTTTCTATGCATGTATCAGCTTTGTGTCTGAAGTCATTACTGACAATCTACGGGTATCTTACACCTTCACCTCTGCGGCCAGGACGAGAAGCCATGGGCTTAAATTGCAGCAAGGGAGGTGTAGGCTGGAGATTAGGAAAGACTTCCTAGCTGTCAGGGTGGCTAAGCCCTGGAACAAATTGCCCAGGGAGGTTGTGGAATCTCCATCGCTGGAGGTTTTCAAGAACAGGTTGGACACACACCTGTCAGGGCTGGTCTAGGTGGTGCTGGTCCTGCCATGAGGGCAGGGGACTGGACTAGATGACCTCTGGAGGTCCCTTCCAGTTCTGTGATTCTATGTGTTGTGTTCCTGGGTAGCACCCCTCAGGTGGCTAAAGGGAAGGAAACCTTTAACCCCTCCTGGGGGGGGGAACCCCCCCTCCCCTGTAAAGGGGTGAAGAGAAGATCCTGGGGCCAAAAAAGAAAGGAGGGGAAATTTTTTAAAGGGGGGGGGGGGGGGGGGGGAAGAGGGGGGGGGTTTTTTTTTTTTTTTTTTTTTGGGGGGGGGGGGGGGGGGGGGGGGGGGTTTTTTTTTTTTGTTGGTTGTTTGGTTTTTTTTTTTTGGGGGGGGGGGGGGGGGCTATTAAAAAGTCCTGAAGAAACTGAATGTTTCAGTTCTCAGATCCAAGGGTTTGGGTCTGTGGCAGAGGGAGGTTTTCAACATTCAGGAAAGGGGGGTGCAATGTTGGGAGGATTTTTTTTTAAAAAAGGTAAAAATGGGTTAAATTAAAGGGGGGGGGTTTTTTGTTTTTGGGGGGACCCAATTTTTGGGGGGGAAAGGGGGTTGGTGGCCCTTTGAGGACACTTAGTGATCACAAAGGGCCACAGAAGAAAGGCGCCTCTGCAAGAATATGGGAAATGGCTGATCCTGTGAGTCATCAGAGCATGTAAGGACCTGGGATACGCTCACGTGACCCTGGACTCATCTCATCTTCTCTGCACTGGCTTTCCAACAAGGAAGCTCTGAACAAGGTCTGGTGACCCCAGCCTGCTTGTGTAATTTCTAGAGAGGCTTTTGCAAGCTCGCAGTGCGTTCCATCACTGCGATGAAAGTCACCTCTGAACACTGAAAAACCACTTGGATGTATCTGATCTATTAACCATTTGTAACTCTTCTTCTTTTCTTTTACTATTTAACCTTGAGTGTCTCTTGAGATTAGGACGCTATAGGTGGTGAAATAGATTGTCACTGAGTACTCACCGTGGGGTCCAGAGTCCGGGTGGTGAGCCAAGGGCTGGGATGCGTCTGGACACTGCATTTTTGGCTTCTAGTTAACCAGTGTGGTGAGACAGATGTTTGTGTTTGTTCCTGGTTTGGTATAATCTAAGGATAGAACCACCAGCCGTCTGGGCTGAGTCAGCCCCATTTCTCAGCAGTTTGTTCTGAATTTGGTAAGCTCGGCTGTGTCCCACTGAGGCACGGTGACACATGGACACCGCTGACAGGTGCTTCACAGACTCTTGCTCACTACTCCCAGGAGGTATCCCCCTCTTACAGATGGGGAAACTGAGGCAGCATGAAAGGAAGTGTCTTGAGCCAAGAATATAGCCCACTGTCACCCACTGACATCACTGGAGTATTTGGCCCAAGTTATTTAATTGGAGATGAAGCATCAGCAGAGACCAGTGAGCTGGGAGGGAAGGTGACTATTTACCAGGTTCGTGTTCTGCTAGCCAAGGGCCGTAATGAGCTGCACACGGCACGGCCTTGGTTCGTTGCAGCACACGGTTGGGCTGTACGCGCTGTGCAGCGTTCCAGGCGACGTGCCGTCCCTGGTAAACAAGCAAGAGGGGGCTGAAAACTGAGCTGTGTGGAAACCTGCTTTGTGGCCACAGTTTCTTTAATGAATTCCTCCCGTTTAAGGACTGCAGCTCCACTGATCACGAGACACAAATAGCCTGAGTGTGTCTAATACAATGCAGGGGAGCAATGCCAGTTCATGGCCAGAGCAGTGGTGCTGGGGGTGTGGCGGTGACAGGACTCCCAGTTCCTCTTCTCAGCTCTGCCACCGACTCCTTGGGTGTCCTTGGGTGAATCACTTTACCTCTGCAGGACTCAGTCCATCCATGACACGGGGATAACGCTGCCTAGCAGCCTAGCTACAGAGCTTCTAAATGGAGTGATCAAAAGCGTCATGTAGAGGAGACGTTAGACTCAGCTTCCCTGTCCAGCTTCAGCCCCGGGGCAACGCGTCCCCTGCAGTTCCAGATAAGGTGTCCGTATACATGTGTAAATAGCTGGCTAATGCCAGGTGGGCAGTTTATCTCCTGCCCTGTGAGCTATCAAAGCCACCCCACCTCTGCCCAGCATCCCGTCTTCCCAG